CTTTCTTAATATTATTTTTTTTCTCTTAATATATTTTTGTATTACTTTTATCTATTTTATATAATCTTTAATAATAAAAATTATTGGAAAAAAATGAAAAACCAAGAAAACAGTTGTCCAGGCAGTTGCCAGGAGTCAAAAACGGATTTGAAGGCACTAGAATGAATGAATGAATGAATGAATGAATGAATGAATGAATGAATGAAAAGGGGGAAGGGGTCCTGAGAGCAAAAAGTTTAAGAAACACTGATCTAGAGTCTCCAAACTAATCCAAGAAGGCTTTTTGAAATAAAACATGCTATTTTTTAAAAATTTACGATTCTGTTCTGTCAGTAGACAGATGAGGTCTGAGTAGTAAGGATACCACTTTCCTTGGAAATGACAACAGACATCTGGCTATGTCTACTGATGTGAAGTGGAGTTATCCCAAAGGATCAATTAATCAAGATATCATTGGGAAATGTATGATTGCTTGAAATGGTAACATTTTGATTTCTAAATTTACGAACTAATTGGTTGCTACTCTGCTACTCTAATATACATCCAGGTAATTCTGGTCATATAACTCCATTATAGTTGGAGGAACCCCAACTTAGATATTTACTTCAAATAGGAAAGGAGTGACAACTGGGAACTTGCTCAGCCATTCTCTGCCATAAAGAACTCAATGGTCCTGTTAACAGTAAAGGTAGTCCTCGACTTACAACCATTCGTTCAGTGACTGTTTGAAGTTACAAATGCACTGAAAAAAGTGACTTATGGCTCATGCCCAAAGTTATGGCCATTGTAGTGCCCTTGCAGTCACATGATCAAAATTTGGGCACTTGGCAGCCTGCTTGTATGTATGACTGCAGGGGCACTTCAACTCCCCCCACCCATCTCTGCCCTCTTGGCCCCTGGCCACCCTGCACTCTACCACCCCAGCTGATCTTCACCATCTGTGAAGCCCAAGGCAGCATCTGAGCAGCAGGGTGCCAAAAGGCCCCTTTGCAAAAAGATCCTGGGCTGGGCTGGGCTTTTGCTTCCCACTGCGGGGCGGGTGGGGGGGAAGCAGCACCCCCTTCTTCCCTCTCTCTTTTTTTTTTCTTCCCCCGCAGGTAGACCAGCCCACTCCCAGGAACCCACGATAGGTGGGTAGACTGGGACCTTGTGGCCCCCCTTCAGTCCTCTCTTTTCTGTCTTCCACAGTTAGACTGGTCCCGCCTTTGGCCACTGGGTAGACTGGGCCAGCTTTAGCCTCCAGAGATAGCTTTTGGCACACTGCACTCCAAGGGCTTTTTGCAGAGCTTTAGCTCCAGAGGGCTAAGGCTAAAAAGCTTTAGCTAAAAAGCTTCCCCCCCACCAGGAGCTTTTTGGAGCAAGAAGATGGTGAACGTCAGCTGGGGTGGCGCAGCGCAGGGCAGCAGGGTGCAGGGCAGCCAGAAGGGCAGAGATGGGGGGTAGACAGGCAGGTGGGGGGAGTTCAAGTCAGTCCCTTACCTTACTGAGGCTCAGGGCTAGGAGGGACCAAGCCTGGAATGGTTTGAATTGGGGTGGGTACTCACTTAATGACCTACAAATACTTGGTTAATGACAGCAACTGGGACTGCTGGGATTGTGGTTGCTAACTGATGTGGTCACATGATGTCTTGCTTTATGACCTCATCGCTTAGATGAAAATTCCAGTCCCAATTGTGGCCATAAGTCAAAGACTACCTGTAGTCCTGGGACTGGAAAACAGAAGGGCAGTTTATTTTGATCCCATTCATCAACAAAAGTTATTTTGGCCCCATCCATCAGCCAAAGGAACAAGAGTCACAAACTGCTATTCAAACAAGAACTCAGGACAGAAAGATTAGTCTTCCTGAGCTATATATAAACACCAGCATATTCTTTCCACTTTGAATAAATTATCTTTCTCCTCTTTCCTTCATTTGCATATCTTTTTAGATTATGAGCATGAGGGCAAGACCTGTTTCTCTTCTGAAACTGATCTGAGCTCTTTGAGAGAACGATTGTCTGAAAATCTGCTGTTAAACCAGGTGCCTGGATAGTAAAGAAATATGCAGTAAGGAAATAAGAGTAAAATGTAATAAATATGTAATAAATAGTAATAAAATGTCGCTTGTTCAAGCACTTGCATGACAAGAAGTTTTGCCAACATAGTCTAAACTAAAATTATCTTCTTTTTACCTGGCAGCTGTCAACACCTCCACTCGGAAAGCCAGCACAAACCATATTCAATGTAACTGTTCCAGCATACCAGTCGGGTTGATTACATACTTTCTGTGGAATAATATCTACTTGAGCTTCTTGTAATATCAATTTGCCTTCACCTGTAACGAAATATAACATCACTGCAAGTATGCTAGTATTTGACACTGTGAAACAAACTGGTCATTTCTTAAGCCAATTAAGCCTTTTTGATATATTCTACCAAGCTTACATTACTCTAACACTCTAGAAAACACACTGCTAGTCAAAATAACCTTCAACATTCATTCTGATGTTTTGGAGTTGTGTCTAATTTTGTTTGGCATCCAACACAGAACCCAAGTTTATATGGAATGGTACTATTAACTTTTTTGTTCCTTTTATCATTTTATTTCTATTCTGATTTTAAAGGGTTCGTTGTTCTTCTGCTGTTTGCTCTTAATGGTATAGGGTTTATTTTTATTAATCAATTCATCTTTGTGCTCAATCTTACTTGTGCAATCAGCATGGTTGAGTTCAACAAGGATAAAATAAGAATCAACAAAGTCAGGGATAAGTTGCTCCGTGGTGCTTTAAGCTAGGATTTTAAAAAGACTTATTTTATGTTTGCAGTTATTATGCTATTAAATGTGTTTAAAACACAATGGTACATGCTAAAATGTTTCTATATTTTAATTGGGCTTGGCAAACAATTTTAGTAGTGTCCTTCAATTCTGAAGTAGTAGGCACAGTTGTCTAAAGGGAGGCTGTATAAGATAATTAAGACAATTAAATTAAGGGTTACGTATTAACTAGCTATTAATAATATGCAAAGAAGTTTAAACTATACTGAGATTTATTTCATGTAAAATTCTAATCCCGATTAGGAAAATACCACTTTAATTTTAAGAAGCTTTCAGAGTAAATAAATGCAGAAAAAAGGGCCAATATTTTGAAAACTGTAAAGTAAAACTGTATCCAAATCTTTGAAATTGAACTAAGACTGGCTATCTGTATTCCTCTGAACGGATTGCCCTTTGAAGTCTAAAAGCACACTGGAATCTGCCCACATGATAGAACTCCCACTATTTTGGTATTTTCTACCAAATTATATTTCTTAAATTTCAGAGGCAGTTCTATGTGTATGTTGTTGTTAGATTTTTATCCCGAGTTACAGTTTTAATTTTATTTGCCCTCCCAAAGTTGAGAATCAGCTTTCAGCATATGGGACAATAAACAGACAAATTATGCAAAATAGAAAAGGACTGTAACACAAATGATCCAATCTTTATAAACTCTACCCCATATATATATAAATGGTAACTGTACACTGAGAAGACCTGAAAAATCACAGAACCACAAAAGCAAATATGGGAGGAGAAAAATTGAGTTGGGGAAAGAGGGTTAACAAAAGCAGACCAATCATAACCAAGCATGTTTCTTGGTTTCAGAATTAATGCCTGATGGGGTGGAGAGAACGTGTGAAATGGAAAACTAAGGGGAAAAGGTATAATGAGACAGAATGTTTAGAATCTTTAATTTAGCTACTCCATACATTTTGCTTCATGTCCATATAACAGAAATGTTGCAAATTACAAGATGACAAAGTGCTGCTGTTCTTGGTGCTGAACATACTTTGCTTGGGTAAAGGTTCTTACATTTCATCTTTAGTAGGCTACACTCTAGTGAAATTTTTTGGTTTTTTTTTAATTCAAGTTTCAAATGCTACAAGGTAGAAGTACCCAAATGTTAACTCATCAACATTCTAAATAGGCAGTCTGCTTAGTCTGTAAGATTAAAAGTGCAAATGCTTTGTGGATAAGAAATCTGTTCAGGTTGCTTGTATAGTCTTGTTGAAGACAGCTAAAGGTGGCCTTATCTAATGGTAAAAGTGCTGCTACTGATTGCTATAATGATAGGAATGGCTATCTTTCAAAGTTCAGTGCCTAGAAAACTTAAGATGTGAGAACTGTTTCATATTTTATTTTAAGGCTACAATTAAGATATCAGTTTGGATTCAATGTAGATGCATGCAACTAACCTCACTGTCTCTAGGTAGTCTTCTTCAAGTTGAGCTTGACTCCTGATGTCCATGCAGTGTTCTTGGCAACAGTGCGGAAGTGGTTTCCTACTTCCTTCTTCTTGGACATCGTTTGATTTCCTAGTCTAGCCTACAGCACTGGTTGTCCTTGAAAATCTCCCATTCAAGTATCCTGCTTAGTTTCTGAGCTCAGACAAGGTGATCCACATGCTGTCATTTGTGAAGTCCTCACCATGTTTTCTACTCAAAAATGCTGTATGAGGGAGGCCACTGAATTAGGTAAGCTGCCATTCACAGAGAACCTCAGTAGATGGCAGCACGAGTTAACCTAATGAGAGCCAGTTTGCTATACTGATACAGGTAGTCCTCACTTAAGGATCACAATTGAGACCAGAATTTAAGTCGCTAAGCAATGCAGTCATTATGCAAATTATCACATGACCACTTTGCTTAGTGATTGCAATCCCGGCACTCCCAGCTACTGCCATGAAACGAAAATCGTGATTCATTAAGCAGACGGAGTCCCAAATAAGGAGCACAGGGGTGCCTCAGGGGTGTGGGGGAGGCCCTGGGAGGCCCAGCGCAGGCCATGCATGAGTTGGGGGGCTGCTGCAATGCAGGGCAAAGCCACAGCTACCCCTAGAAGCCTCAGCTGCCCCAGCATCACTCAAGACTGCAGGGGCACTGTAACTCCCCCCACCCATCTCCCCCCCATGCCCTTTTGGCTGCCCTGCACAGAGACACTCGTCAGTGGCAGTGCCAGGGCTGAAGTACAGGCCCAAGGCCTTCAGCAGCCTCAGCCACTGCCCCCAGGCTCCACACTGCTGGCCTTCGTCGCCTCGCGCCATTCCCCAAGCCACACCTTTTGTTCCTTTTCCAAGCCACGCATCCCATATCTTCTGCAAGTCGGCATCCCATTCCCTCCCCAAACCATGCCTCTTGTTCCTTTTGCAAGCCACGTGTCACATACCTTCTGTAAGCTGGTGTCCCATTCTCATGATCCTTCAGAAACTTTGTAGTCTTCCCCAGGGCTCATGAGGGGCCTGAAGCAGATTTCTCAGTGGCAGCAGCGGTGCTGGGCTGAAGTCGTCCTGGGGCAGTGACAGCCGGCTGAGACTGCTGAAGGTCCCAGGCCTCTACTTCAGCCCCAGCCCTGTCACCAACAAGTGCCACTGTGCAGGGTGGCCAAAAGGGCATAGATGGGAGGAGGAGATAGGCAGGTGGGGGGAGTTGCAGCACCCCTGTGGTTGTAGATGCGGGTGGGCTGCCAAGCACCTGAATTTTGATCATGTGACAGCAGGGTATTTTCAGGCACAGGTTGTAAGTCAATTTTTTCAGCACTGTGTAAATTTGGGTTGCTGAATGGTCATTAAGCAAGGACTACCTGTAGTCAAGTTACGAGGGCAATTGGAACTGGAATTTCCATCGCTAAGCAATGCAGTTGTAAAGCGTAATGTTAATCCCTGTAATCCCCATTGTCGTCATTAAGTTAAAATCATGGGTCATTAAGTGAGCACCTCCTCACTACTTCCTGCTGGCTTCCAACAATCAAAGTCAGTGGGGAAGCCAGCAGGAAGTTGCAAGTCCCAGGCAGCTTACAAGCAGGCCAGCAGGCTGATAAGTGGTGCTGCCGGGTGGGAGAGGGAGCAAGGGAGTGTGCAGGTGTCATGATCACATGACCATGGGACACTGCAACCATTGTAAGTGCAAGCTGGTTGCCAAGCACCCAGATTGCGATCACATGACCATGGGGGTGCTGGGATGGCTGGAACTTTGAGGACTAGTCGTAACCACCACTCAATCAGCACCATCGTAACTTTGAACAGTTGCCAAATGAGTGGTTGTTAACAGAGGACTACCTGTATTAGTTAAGGTGCTGGCCTACAAAGCAGGAGATTGTGAGTTCTAGGCCTCACTTAAGCATGAAAGCTGGCTGGGTGACTTTGGGCCAGTCACTCTCTCTTAGCCCAACCACAGGGGGGTTGTTGTGGAGAAAACAGAAAGTAGGAGGTATGTTCAATGTCTTAAGGGAGGGGAAGAAATGAAAAAAGCAGGAGAGGACAGCAAAAGTTGCTTCTACATGTTTAGCTACAAACATGTAAATCTAGATCCAGGACCTCTCAGATGCAGAGAGGCCCAGTGCCAAAATAAAAATAGCCCTCCAATGCTCTATATTTGTAAAAAAAAAAAAAAATAATTATCCAAGATTTTCAGCATCTTCTTAAGTGTAAATCAATGACAAAACCTAGTTTTCGTTATAAACGTGTGAAGTGCCATGAATGGAGTACGCTAACGGCAAAAACATTTGCTAGGAATTTAATACTCTTACCAAGAAAAACTAAAGAACTATTATGATGAATATAGTGGTGTGTGTCTAGTTTTATTTTATGGTTGTTAGTTTCAACTGATTATTTTTGTTGCATTGCAATTTTTATCTGAACTTTGTACATTGTTTAATATAAATATCTCACAGAAATAATAAAAATACCTTTTTCTTTTGTTTTACCCCATCCAGTTATGTAACATGGATACTGTCCATTTGTCAAAAGAGTACTGGCAGGTAAGCAGATTGGCCGAGCATAGTCACTGAATTTGATAGATCTGATTAGTATTAACACGGCAATATCATTTTCATATGTTTCTGAAATATAATCAGGATGGATTTTGATAGCTTTAATCCGTCGCTTTATTGTATGAGAGTTATCTTCATTAAGATGATGCAAGCCAATTACAACCCTCCAAATGGCTGGGTCCCTAGGATAGAATAAAATTCCTGTAGGGATTATTATTATTATTATTATTATTATTATTTTGCTATTTTATAACATTTGTAACATGGGACCTTTTTTTAAATTTCATTCTAAGTAAACAAACCATTAAGCACAGATTCTGATTAAAACTGGATTCTGAGGCTAAAACAAGGATCACTGCAGAAAATAACAGCACACCATTAAAAAAGTGCTCTGTCTCTCTCCCCCCACACACACACACACATTCACTCCACCTGCTTCCCACAGTAACTGCTCAGTTGCTTGTAGGAAATCTATATACGTCTCTCTTGTGGTAGCATATACTCAGCATTATTTATAGCCATTTATAGCATCATCTTCCAATCTAAGCCCTTTTTATAGTCTCCAAGCAAGTGCATCACTCTTACAAATCTTAAAACTTTAATAAAACAACTCTGTTCCCCATTTTACCACAGTACAGTTTCAATTCATTTTATTCAGTTTCTATACCAAAACAAATGAAATGTTTATAAGGGCTACAGACTAGCATAAATCAGTTTCTGTGTCACATGTGTTTACATGAAATGCTAGTCCCCAGAATAGTGTCTCTTCTGGTATTTTAAATAAGTTCAATTTAATTATAGGCTGATACATTGCAAAGTGAAGGGCCAACCTGTACTACATCTTTATTTTCAAAAGTGTCCCTGAATCCTATTTTAAAAAATTTGGCTGCACCAAAGTGCATTGTTTTGAAACATGCCCAGCTACCCAGAAGAGAGATTATGCTGAGGCTGGCAAGGAGCATCCTGTGGCAGAAGTAACTGTGATAAGAATGTTGAGATTGTAAAGGTGGGGATGGAGAGTGAGATGTGTCTTTTACTTCACCTCACCATCTTGTTATACATTGTGCTTTTATTCTGGTGTGCTGGCATATATGGTTTGCCTGTGGATAGAATAGGCAGGTATTTTACTTCTGTCTTTCTCTGGGCATCACCTGTTTGCTTTCTGTGAAATACATATTTCACTGTGTAGCCATATAATTCTAAAAAATAAATAAATAGTACACATAAAAGCAATTTGTGTGTCCTTATGGACCACAAGTTAAACATAAGCCAACAGTGTGGTGCAGCTCCTAAAAAGGCAAATGATACCTTGGGTACATTAAGAGGAGCATAGAGTTTAGATCATTAACAATATTTGCTTCACTCTACTCTGCCTTGCTCAGACCCCATTTGGAATACTGGGGCACTACTGTTCAAAAAGGCCACAGACAAACTGCAGCAAGTTTAGAGGAGGGCCACCAATATGACGAAAGGTCTGGAAACCAAGTCCTATGATGAATGGCTATGGGATCTGAATTTGTTTAGCCTACAGAAAAAAATGACTGAGCTTTGATAGTAGTCTTCAAATATCTGAAGGCTTGTGACACAGATGTGGGAGTGGAGTTATTCTCTATTGCCCTAGTGGGGAAGAACTACAAGGAAGGAGGTTCAGCCTAAACTTCAGGAGGAACTTCTTGACTCTATGAGCCATCAGCTACTAGAACAGGCTTCCACATGACATTGTAAGTTTTCCTTGTCTAGAGGTCTTCAAACAGGCCAGATGGTTATCCACCAAAGATGCTCTAGTGGATTTTGCACTGAGCAGGGGGTTGGTCTAGATGGCCTCAAAAATCCTTCCAACTCTGTGATTCTCCAGTGCTGAACTAAAGTGTTATCCATCAGTCCTTCAGTTAGCTGAAAAATATGTATATATCTATGTATGTATGTATCCATCCATCAATTGTCAGATTCGGGAAACAATGGGGGGGAGTGACTGAAGAAGACTGCATGCTGAGCCTATTGTTTTTCTTCCATCCAGCTTTCTTTTTGATTTTTGTCATTAATATCTAACTAATTGGCCTTATTTATTTATTTTTCAAATTTATATAGCTGCCCATCTCATAAAACAAGTGACTCTGGGTAGCGTACAACAAAGCTAAAAACAATAATTAATAAATAACAATTATTATTATGATTATTATTATTATTAAAGAGCGTTAAAAACTATAAAACAGTTAAAAAGAAATAATGGGGGAAGGGTTGTTAATAATAACACAGCCACCTCACTAGTTCTCTAGTTCCCTAGGGTCCCCAGGCCTGATGGCACAACCAGGTCTTGAGGGACCTTTGGAAAGTCAAACAATGGCACCAGCCTCATCTCAGGGGGGAGGAGATTCCACAACATGAGCAGCACAGCCGAAAAGGCCCACTGCCTAGGGCCCACCAAATGTAGCTTCCTAAATGATGGAACCTGTAGCATGCCCTTTACTAGATCTGGTGGGACGGGCAGATGTGATTGGGGAGAGGTAGTCCCTCAAATAACCCAGTCTCATGCCATGTAGGGCTTTAAAGGACAAAACCAGGACCTTGAATTGGATCCAGAAACAGACTAGTAACCAATGCAGCTTGTGGAGCAGAGCTGTAATGTATGTTCTATGAGAAATGCACCTAACTGCCCGCGCTGCTGCATTTTGTAGCAGCTGAAGTTTCCAGATACTCTTCAACGGTAGCCCCATGTAGAGCGCATTACAAGAGTCCAACCAGGTGGTGACTAGGGCATGAGTGACTGTGAGTAGGGCCCCTTGATCTAAGATCTGACACAACTGGCGCACAATATGAAGTTGTGCAAAGGGCCTCCTAGCCATGACTGCCACCTGCTCATCAAGCAAGAGTCATGAGTCCAAGAGGACCCCCAGATTGTGCATGGAGTCTGTTTGGGGCAGTATAACCACATCCAGCAGTAAAGATGGCATAGTCCCAGAACAAGAGGGCCCCAAAACCCAAAGCCACTCAGTCTTGCCAGAGTTCAGTTGAAGCCTGTTGTTCCCCGTCCAGACTTTCACAGCCTCCAGACATCAGGATAAAACATCCACAGCATTGCTTAATTTGCCAGGGGCAGAGATGTATAATTGGATATCATCAGCATATTGATGATACCTCACCCTTACCTAACATTAAAAATATGTGTAAGAAAGGTAATCCCTGAAATGGCAAGGAATTAAGGCTTACATGGATGGTCAAGGTGGCTCAGATGGCATCCCACTTTGGCAGTGAAGAAGAGATGACAGAGGAGGAAAAACCCCTGTCAGTGGCTTGAATGCTGAGTGCTGCTCAAGAAGCCTTGAGGTTGATTTAATTGGAAATACAATTAAGCAACTTAAACAAAAACTAAACAAGAAATGGGATAAATCAGACACTTGGATTTGAAAGGATTTGGCATGTATGTTTGAACAAATTAATAAACAACTAAAAAATTTGTCTTCTCAAGTTTTGGAGGTCACCCAAACAACTAGCAAAGTATATGCTGTCATTATGGAAAATGAGCTTAATATTGGAAAAGTTCAAGATGTTACTGACACTAGATTGGATTTGGCTGATATACAGAATTAGAGCAGATGATATATTTTGAGAATTAGAGGAATTAAGGAAAATACAGAAAGGACTAATTTAGTTGGATATCTAAAATAACAAGCGTCTAGATTAAGATATTTTTCTCTTAAGTTCAATCAAATGCAGAAGCCAAAAGATGTACTAATTTTACTAATACATTTGTAAAATATCAGGTGAAAAAGAAAATTCTGCAAAAAGCTCATGGACTAATAGAAATAAACTGGAGTGGAAATAAAGTGTTATATTTTAAAGTACTAGTCCTGCCATTATTAAAAAGAGGAGTAAGATGTAAATGGCGGGTTTCCTTTCAAGCAAATTGTATTTCAACCACAAGGAAGAGAAATTATTTCTAGGCTCCCAGAGATAAAACAAAGAACAAATTATTTAATAAGCATAAATAATATTTCATGAAGAATTAATAAAGAACAACCTGTAATGTTTAAAGAACTGATACTACTGTATGAGAAGAAGGTAATACAATGAGATCCCTTAATATTTGGGACTCATAAGATGGTAGCTGATTGTAACATAAATGTTTAATGCTGTTTGATATTAGTTGGGAAATAAGTAAGACAAAACACAGAGAACAGCAAAGTATTACTTAGACATTAATATAGGGAGAAGGCAAGCAGCAAGAGGAGGAGCTGGAACTCAATGTAGCACTCCCCTAGACTAGACTTATTGGAAGGTGTAATTAATCCTCTGTAAAATCAGTTCACATGTAGTCTAAACACGTTGGAAGGGTAAGGCTGGTGAGAGTAAATGGAGAAGAAAACTGGGGGAGGTCTGGGGAAAGGGGTATAGGAGGCACAGAAGGACAGCTAGTCAGAAAACAATACTTTCATGAATATAATCACAAATGTGTTTGTTAGTAGGACAGCTGAGATTTCACTGTTGATAAGTTTGTTTTGTAGGAATGGTAAGCAAGACAAGAACAAGAGAAGTGAGTTACAACGGCAATTTGGGACCAGAATTTCCATTGCTAAGCAATGCGGTCATAAAGTGCAATGTCATGTGACTGCATCGCTTAGCGACAGCCATCCCTGTAGTCCCCATTGCCGTGGTTAAGTGAAAATCACAGATTGTTAAGCAAGCCTTCCTCACAACTTCCTGATGACTTCCAACAACCAAAGTCAGTGGGGAAGTGAGCAGAAAGTTGCAAGTCCCAAGCAGCTCACCAGCAGGCTGGTAGGCAGATAAATGGCTGCTACCCGGTGGGAAAGGGAGCAAGGGAGTGCGTGGGTGGCTAGGGAGGTGTGAGGATGGTGGCGCTTGGGGAAGGTGCCCAAGGAGTGGGGGAGGTATAGCACAAGCGCAGCGGGGCTTGTTATAGCTTCTGCTGGGTGGGGGAGGGTGCGCTAGGGTGTGCAAGTGGCCAGGTTGCATGAGTGGCTGGGGAGACATGGTGTGAGCCGGTGAGGCTCAGGGAGGTTGTGCGGGTGGCCAGCAAGCCACAGCACGAGTACAAAAGGACTGGGGGAGGGTGTGTGGGTGGGGGAGACTTACCCGAGCAACTTGTGACCTTCCCTGCTGGCTTCCCCATTAACTTTGCTTGTGGGAAGTCAGCAGGAAAGGTCACAAATTGTGATTACAT